GACATGAAAACACAAACAGATACAGGGAAAAGAGCTGAGGGTTCAGAAATAAACCCATATATCTACACAACCTCCATATGGCCCCAGCAATTACACTGCTGGGTATTTACTCCAGTGAAGTAAAAATGTACATTCACGTAAAAACATACACAAATGTTCATAGCAGCTTGTTCCTAAGAGCCAAACACTGGAAATAACACAGATAACCCTTCAGTGTGTGCATCCCCATGAAGAAGTGCTAAGAGACTAAGGAATGCAAGGGTGAGAAAAGAACATACATAACTACAATGAATCCACAGAGAATTCTGTCCCATGGACTAAAAGCTATTTAAATCCACTGGTGTAACACTCATTCAGGAACAAAACTGTAAAAACGGAAAACAGATTGGTTCTTGTCAAAAGTCAAGGAAGGGAAGGAACATGTCCATCAAGGGTAAAAGAATGAGGCCTTATGGCAAAACTGTTCTGTACTTTGGCTGTGTGTGTATGTTTTGGGTTTTTGAGACAAGTCTTATGTAGTCCAGAGTGAGTTGGAATTCACTATGTGACCAAGAAGAGCTTCAAAGCACCAATCCTCCTGCCTCAGTATCAAAGTGCTATGACCACCAGCACATGGTTCTGCATATTCCTAGTTCCTGCAAAGAAAGGAGTTAGAGAGAAGGAAGAACAGACATTTCCAAACTTTGTAACCTTAGGCAATTAATCTTGTTTCTTCACTTGTAAACATAAATTAAAAATGTTACTATGGTTAGCTGAATGACAAAGAATATTCAAACCCTGAGTATCCGTTCTCACCACCTTTATTCAACACAGTATTTGAGATTGAAGCCAGAGAAATAAGGCAAAAGAAACAAAGGGGACACATATGAAAAAGAAGCTCAACTATCCCTACTTTCAGATATGTTCTTACAATTGAAAAACCTGGAAGATTCCATAAGACAAGTCTTAGCTCTGAAAAACCTTTCCAGTAAGATACAAAATCACACAAGAACCTATAACTTTTCATACACCAAGTTAAAAACACTCAGGAGAGCAATGCTGTCCTTAATTCCAGCACTCAGACAGCAGAGGCATGCAGATCTGAGTTCGAGGCAGCCTGATCTACAGAATGAGCTCCAGGACAGCCAGGACTATACAGAGAAACCATGCCTCAAAAAACAAAAACCACCTCACTAAGAAATCAGAAAAATAATTTCACTCAAAACAATCTCAAGGGGGACGCCTTTACAAAGATCAGACTAGCCTCTCTTTATACCAGTCAACAGGACCTCCCAATTTCCAAGCATATAAAACACAATTGTTTTGTAGGAGTCCCACCTCTGCCTCTTACACCCTCCTGCTCTTTACACCCAATCCACCTCACATTCTATTCTGATTTCCAAACATAAGGAATCTGACCTAGCTTTGCCCCAGCTCATGGCCAGGCTGAACACCAAGCCCAGATTATGAAATGGCCATTAACTGGTCTCTTCTTCACATTCTGTTACCACGGACACCTCTTCAGAACATACCGAGGTATGGTGCTTTGTATTAGTCTGTAATCCCAGAATGTGATAACCTTGTGTTTGAAGCCAACTAATAGCAAGTTCCAGGCCAGCCTGAGCTATATATAGAGTGAGACTGTGCCTCAAAATCCCAATAAATCAACAAACAAGCAGAAAAGAAAGTTGATCATTTTACTTCATGTCTTCTTAGGATTTTTACTGCTGCCATAAAACACCATGACCAAAACCAATTAAAGAAGAAAGGGTTCGTTTAGACTTACAACTCTCTGTCATAGTATGTCACTGAGGAAAGTCAGGGCAGGTACCTAGAGGCAAGAACTGAAGCAGAGGCCAAGGAGAAACGCTGCTTACTGGCTGCTTCCCAAGGCTTGCTCAGCCTTCTTATCCAAATCAGAACCATCTATCTGCCCAGGGACAACACCACCCCCAAGTAGGCTGAGCTCTCCCACATCAATCATTAATCAAGAGTATGGCCTACAGACTTGCCTACAGGCCATCTGATGGCCTGTATTTTCTCAACTGAGGATTCTCTTCCCAGGGAACTCCAATTGGCCAGCTGACAGAAAAGAACAACCCTGGTTTAAGTCTAGATTTAATGCCGTTGTGAAATCAATCCTTAATGTCAACAGCATAAAATCAGTCTTAGCCAAGAATTCACAACCTGGACCTAACTTTTCCTGTTTCTCTCCCTGAAAGGATACACACACTCTCTCTTTATCCTGCCTGGATAGAGTTCCCTCCTGTGAACTTTTGGAAGCCGGTGTCCCAGCCGGTGTTCCTCCTGCTCTGCTTAGCTCCCTTCCTCACTGAGCTAGGTCCATCCCAGCACATGCTATCACAGTTCTCTATATCTACACTGTTACTCAATCATCTGTTCCTCCCCCTTCTCTTCAGATTGGACTTGGGCCTCTCATTGAACTCAAGGATTAGATGAGGAATTAATTTTGCATTCCAAGGAGGCAGAAAGATTCCAGAAAGAGTTAATGAAACAATGACTGCCACTTCTATTTATGTCATTTTTTTCTATAGAGACTGAGAAAATATCCCAGCACTTGGGAGGCAGAGACAGACAGATAGATCTCTGTGAGTTTAAGGCCAACCTGGTCTACAGAGTGAGTTTCAAGATAGCCAGGGCTATACCAAGAAACCCTGTCTCAAAAAAGAAAAAAAGAAACTAACAAAAAACTTAAGAAAAATATTAGTATCATTTAGCAATGAACTGTACTAAAACCAGCTTGTTTGTTTGTTTGTTTGTTTGTTTGTTTGAGACAGGGTTTCTCTGAAGCTTTGATGCTTGTCCTGGCTGGCTTTGTAGATCAGGCTGGCCTGGAACATACAGAGATCCACCCACCTCTGCCTCCCAAGTGCTGGGATAAAAGGCATGTGCCACCACTGCCAGGCTTTTGATTGTTTTTAAAGTCATCCATCAAATTATTCTCTCAAAGAATTTAACCAGGGTTGCATATAGTGATGGTGTGGAAAAGCACAGGAGCCAGGCCTTGTGGTGCAAGGACTATAAATTCAGCTATTCCGAGGACTGAGGCAGGAAGAGGATCACAAGTTCAAAAGCTTCCTGGGCCACAAAATGAGTTCAAGGCTAACCTTGGCAATCAAAATAAAAAGAGAAGATAGTTGAGTGATGGAGCAGTTGCTTAGCATGTGCAAGCCCCTGCATTCAATTCTCAGAACAAGAAAGAAAAAGGAGAAAAGGCAGGGATGGAGTGATGACAAACTGGACTCACAATGCTAGCTGAAGGATTTAGGACCAAATGACTTCAACTTCAATGTGCTCCAGTTTCCTCATCTGTTAAGTAACCACTTTACACTGTTGAGTCAATGAGTTGACACTTATCAGGCCCTTGACACACTGCCAGGCAGAGTAATGAACACTAATACACATCAATTCTTACCACTGTTTTTAAGGCTCTTAAATGCACTGCCCATCCCCCAGCCTCAATGAAGACTGCTTGGCCAAGAACTGCCATCTCTATTCAGAGACAAAACACCCCACAGAAGTTACATAACCACCATATTTTTATGAAGCAACTTAGTTATCACTACATCTAACCTCAACGCCAACCCCAGACCAAATTCACCCTATCTCCCCAGATTCAGAGTACACCTCCTAACAGCTGCAGAAGGCAGCCTTTAGACCTGGTGGGAAAAGAGGGACCCAACATTTGTTCAACTTAAAGGTAGAAGCCATGTGGAAATGACAGCGCTAAATGTACACTGGGCACTTGTGACAGTCGCTATTGATGACTGAAGCGAAGTGCTCCTGTGACCTTTCAATTCGTTTACTAATTCAAAACCACAAGTTTAACAGCTGGATCTACAGCTCAATGGTTAAGAGTACTTACTGCTCTTTTAGAGGACCAGGCTTGGGTTACTAGCGCACACACTGTTGACTCAAAAACATCTATAACTGCAGCTCCTGAAGGTCTCCACTTTGCATGATGCATATAAACTAATGCAGCCTCACATACACAAATAAAAATAATATTTTTAAATACACAAATATTGCAATGTCTTTCATCAAAATGTTTTTTTTTAAGTAGCCCAAATATTTAAACTTTTTATGGCAAGATGTTTCTCTGCCGAAATACGTAAAGGACATGAATGGGAAGCACTTATCTTGATCATCCCTTCACCGGCACTTTTTCAATACTTTTCTTGGACTTAAACTGAATTGCCAAACTCAGGTGTGTCTACATTCACTCAAAGCGCACTGAAAACAGCACGTGAACTTCAAAGTCAACTAGCCCTTCAAGAAAGGATGAGAAAACAAAACAGTTCCACAACCACAAGAAAACACCTCATGTCTTTATTGCTTCTGGTCAAACACAATCTCAGACGTTAAGATACACCCTAAAAGACCACACCTGCCCGGTGGGCGTGGTAAGGCACGCCTCCTATTGCACCAATACAGGGCAGAGGCAAAAAAGACCATGAGTTGGAAGGCAGGTCCTTAGTAAAAGCATGTCCTCAAAAAACGGACAAAAAAAAAAAAAAATCAGACTCGACGTCAGCTTCTAGTGTGACCTACCTTTCCTCCTGTGCCACTGCCACCTAAATTTCGTGCACACCTCTAGCACCCGAAGCAAACAAGCAGCTTGAGCCCTGGACATCTTTCTTGTGGGTTTCGCACGTGGCGGCCCCTGAAGAACTCTGTGCACCTGGGACCTGGCCCCTGGCACACCTTAGGTGGTGTTTAGGGAACCAGCAGCAGCTCTCGGGGCCGACAAGGTGTGTTGAGCACAGGAAGGTGTCTGTGGGCACAGACGGGGCACCCGGCGGCCATCGTCCCACAGCTCCCGAGGCCTCCGCCTCCGTAGAGCCGCTCGCCCTAACCCTCCACCCAACTCCCAGAGTGGCTGTCCCCCAGGGCCCCGGAGGAAGCGTGCTCTCGGGAAAAGCGGCCACGCCGCAGCTCCGCCTCCGCCCACTCGGGGAATCCCCCGGCCGCCGCCATGTTCCCCGCGCCGAAACCCGCACCTGGGACACGCCGGGGAAAACGCGCCACGTCGCGGGGACACTGGAGAGAGACTGCGACTCCACGGGGGTCACAACCTGCGAGCAGAACCCGCCGCTAATTCATCCCGAAGCGGGGAGGCGTCGAGCCCGTCGCCTTAGTAATGCGTCCTGCCAGGCTCCACCCTGATTGGCTGCGGGCGCTGTGACGCAGAGGCGACCCGGCTGCGTAGAAGCCCTTGTGCGGGGCGCTCCGCCCCTGCTCCGCAACCCGGAGAGACCCCTGACGTCGTCTAGGCTCCTTTAAAGGGACCGTGCCTAGATCCTGGTCTGGCCTGCTGCAGATGCCTGGCAGGGAAAGCCAGTGGAGTAGAGCGGCTGGAAACCAAGATCGGAACTCAGCCGAGGTCGCTCTCTGTTTCAGGGAACCCGGTTGCTGTGGGTAACAAATATAGAGCGCTCACTTGAAAGCCTAGTCCTTACGCCCCAAATCAAAGAGCAAATTAGCATACAGACAGTTGTAGAGCCCTGACATTCTATGTGGTTCTAGGTAGTTCATGGTGGCGTTAAGCCTTTGAGGTTGCCTAATGGAAAACAAATCTGAGGCACTAATTTACAAGCCTTGTTTTCTTGCCCTAAATGAGAGGGCAAATCCACAGCTTCTGGCGCACAACTCTTTCTAATTCAACAGTGTTTGCTCAGCTCCCAACTTTCCCTCCCCTAGATAGCCCACTTTTTTTTTTTTTTTTTTTTTTTTTTTTTTTTTGGAGGGGGTGTCGAGACAAGGTTTCTCTGTGTAGCCCTGCCTGTCACAGAACTTGCTCTATAGACCAGGCTGGCCTTGAACTCATAGAGATCTCCTGCCTCTGTCTCCCAAGAGCTAGGTCAAAAGTATGCACTGCCACCACCTGAATTTTTAAAAAGGAGTGCAAGGTACGTTCCTACACAGAAGCAGCATTACAACTCCTTTACTTTTGTTCAATAATTACGTATTTGAGATGTGCCAAAATCATTAGAACATTAGCACAAAAAAAAAAAAAATGCAGTTAACCCTATGAGGTAGGATGGACCTCAATTTTTCTCTAAAATCAGAGTCCTGGAAATTCTTAGTTTTTTGGGGCTTGTCCTTGTTTTGGAATGAACATGGTGATCCCCGGGAACCTCTCAGGGATGTACTGTGACTTCTCAGGGGACTTGAGGAGGTTGTACATAGCCTTTCCTCTGCTGGAGATTCCTCTTGTGTACTAAGATGTACCAGGTAATGTGGCTAGAGAGACGGGACTGACTGATGCACCACAGTCAGGATATGCAGCTGGGCTGTTTCTCATTCTGACCCCTCTTCATAAGTAGCTGCTGTCCACATGAACTGTTAGTGGACAACTTAAAGCATGCTGTTCTTAAACCTGAAAACATCATCCAAGTCTTAGGCTCTTTACTTGGCAGTTAAAGGTGCAAGCAAGCTACAGAAACTCACTCTTCATTTGGGAGCAAATGCCTTCACAAGGCCAAGACCACTGGACCTCTTCACCACCCAAATAAGGTCTCCCAGCTAAATAATAGCATTGTGTGAAGATTTTTTTGTCGTCTTGTTATTTGTCTAGTACTCATGATTGAGCCCAGGACCTTGTATATTCTTTTCTCTTGTTGTTGTTGTTGTTTTGTTGGTTTGGGCTTTTTTGTTCTGTTTTGTTTTGTTTTTTGTTTTTTGTTTTTGTTTTGTTTTGTTTTGTTTTTTGTTTTGAGACAGGGTTTCTCTATGTAGCCCTGTCTGACTTGGAACTCAGTCTGTAGACCAGGTACCTTTGAACTCACAGAGATCTGCCTGCCTCTGCCTCCCAGGTGCTGGGATTAAAGGTGTGTGCCAACACCAACCAGCTCCTCCTCAGACCATTTTTTTTTATTGTTTTAATATTTATTGAGAAATAGATCTCACTAAGTTACCCAAGCAGGCATTTAGCTCACCAAGTAATAGGTTGACCTTGAATACACAGCCCTCCTTCAGGCTCCTGAGTAACTAACGTGTTTACCACCACACCCAGCTTTGATTCTAGGCTTACACAAGAGGTTAACAAACAGAGAAAGGACATGAAGAAAGTCCCTATCTTTTTCCATCTCCCTTAAGTCTAAAATTATTTCTTTTTTTTATTTTTTTTCTAAAATTATTTCTTATTTAAAGAATAATAATTGCTATTTAAAATTGTCATCCCATGTAACCAATTCTTACATTTCTATGAGCTTTATCCAGCCTCTGGCATGCATGTGTCTCATCAGGGCATCTAAACTACTTGAGTTTTAGGCACATCAGACCTGATGTTGCAATATGGTAGACCAATGCAATGTCAAGAGGTCTGGATCCCTTTGGAATACATTAGGATGTAAAACAGGAAAATGAGGACAGCCTTGGAGCAAAACTGCACAAGTCTGTCCCCTTACTTAGTTGCTAGGGGAGAGCCAGGGGCAATTCTGAGCATGCTTGTTTAGCCTTTTCTGCTTTAATAGAGCTTACTCTTCTGGCTAAGCACCTTTGTGAGACATCAGTCAACGTCTAAGTATATCTACTCCAATGACACATTCAGGAAGTGGAAATGTGGCCACTAGGATGGTGACAGGATCCAGAAGACCCACTAAAAGCAGACCTGGGTGAGGACTCTTCTTTATTATGTAAATTCAGTAGTGTTCCATTCTAATGGTGGATAAAGGAGAGTAATGAAAGGAGGAAGAATACTTAGCAATTCTAGATAGCCCCATCAACTTAGATCCTTTAGCCAAAGTTTCTCCAAAAAAAAAAAAAATTAATAATAATAATAGAGTACTTCTCTTTCTCCAGTTTGTGGTTATTTGTTTTAAATGTGTGTGCTGGGATCCTCATGTATAACAGTCGCTCCTTCAGTCCTTGCAGGCTGTTTAATAGGCTCGGGTCTTGAAATTGTGAAACAGATTACAATTCTCCATTGAGGTGATATCTGACCCCACCCTTTTACTTATCCCTGATGTGTTGAGGCTATATATTATACAGTACCTTTATTGTCTACCCACATATCTCCTGCCTAAAAAATATGTTATGTTCCATCAGCCATCTTCATAAGGTCAGGTCAAGACCTCTGGCTGCCACTTAGACCTTGCTATCCATTATGATAATTAGATTGCCACTGCTTCTCAGTTGTCTCTGCTATTCTGGCATCTGTCATTCCCCAATGCTGCTAAAGGTCCCCATTTACAACATCTTTCCCATTAGCCCTGTCCTGCTTTTAGGAGACAAAGCTCAGAGCTTCTCAATGATGCTATTAGTCCCAGGCCGAGCATCTCCCATCATCTTGATGAGCAGCAGCATCCAGCCCTTTCTGAGTCAGCTAGAAAGTTTTCTAGTCAGTGTGTTTGAAACTTCTGTAATGTTTTTCATTCCTATATCCACGTTGTACCATTAGAGTTCTGGCATCTCTATTAATGTGGCCTTTTGCATCCCCCAGATTTAAAGAACCATCCCAGTAGTATGTTAGAATTGGCTCCCAGAGCTCTGACCACATTGGAAATACATCCAAGATGAAAATCTATCTAGTTCAGAATTTCCAGGCTGTACCTAGTTTTCAGTTTGGAGGCAGGTGACAAAAAACTTTTAAAATTCTACTGAGCCTGTCCTCCAACTCCAGCATGTTGCTTGCCATCCATCTCCAAGTCCTTACAGTAAGTATTCAAACCTATCAGACAGCAAAGTCTGCATTAGCGAATGCACACTCTTTTCCTGCATCCTTCTTTTATTCAGTAAAGTCATCTGCCACAGTATCCTGGGTACTATTAATACTCTAGTACCTAGTCATGGGATTGCTTACTGTTGCCTAGCAATGGGACTTGTCCTGGTTACCACTCTATCCTCTTGAGAATCCCATCATTAATCTGCTTCCTAGGAATACCTCCTGCTGGTGGCTTCCTAGAAGTGGGATCTGAAGTAGAGATCTGCTTACAAGACTCTCACTCTCAACAGAAGATGGGGCGAAAGAAACAGAATATGGAGACGAGAGAGGGAAGTCATGATGTGGCCCCTGCTAGAGACAAGCTTTAGTTAGAACCCAACTCTGAAGCAAAAAATATTCTACAAGCTTTCTCAGCCTTGAGGCAAAGGCATTGATTCTCTTATGTTAAGTTCTGTGGTCAGTTATTAAGTATGAGTGACATGAGGATGTGGGTCAGAAGCAGCATAGCAAGACAGGCCACACTCTTCTGAAGGGTGTCCTCTGGAGAAGGACTGTGAGCCATTACCAACCAAAGCTCATGGCAGCAGGAGGATGGGTGCCCCACAGTGAGAGGACCCTGACTGTACTCACTGCAGGCACCTGAGGACTACTAAGTTAACACTAGCTTCTTGAAGGAACCCATATGTGACTATATGTGCCTGGGAATCTCTGGGAAGACACAGGAGAAACTGTTGCTTCTGGGTGAAGGGATTGATACCAGCAAACTGCCATATCTATATTCCCTAACCTACAGTTAGACTTTTATCTAGGTATATGCCTTACTTTTTAATTTTGAGGTAGAAAATAAACAAATTAAAATCTCCCTTTACGTACCCATAAGTTTATAGAATGGTATTAATCTCCTCTACTGCCCAGAAAGGTAATTTATCCCCCACTTTCTGAACCTTTCTTGATTCCTACAATACATTATACAGATGATGAATGGCTCAACCTCATGAGCCAGTGATTTAATAGACACGTTTAATAGGGCACTCTCTGCTATGCTCAAGGAAACAGTTTCACAAGCAGTGAACCCCATGTCCTAGTTCTTATTGTGCTTTTGTTACTATTAAATACCTATATAGCCATGTAATTGCTTTTCCTTCTTCTTCCAAATGTGATAGTAATAAGGTAGAATATGTGCTCAGTAATAGACTTCAGAGAAGAGCCAAGTGAGCTGCTGCCAACAAAACAGGAACAACTCTCTCCAGTGGTAACAAGGAGAAGGAACATACAGAGCTGGCAGAGGACTAACTGAGGGCCTAAAGCAATCACTTCTGTAGCCCACAGCATCCCTGGTTCAAATGGCATTTGAAAATAGATGTTTCATTTCCCGAGAGGCAGGTGTGGTCTTTGATAGTTCAGGAGTTTGGGTGCTACAATGAGTGGAAGAAGCTTATGGTCAGACACACACACACCCCACAGTGCTTCACTGGCCCCCATATCTGCTCTATGCTAAT